GCTGTTGCTCTTTGTCCTAAGTAAGCAGGATCTTATAATTATTACAAAATTTGAAGCTACACAATTGTCTTCACAATCTTTCTGCAGGAACTACATAATTCTCTAGAATACAAATTACATATGTCCAAGGCCCTAAATGGCAATGACAGCTCACAATAGAGGTAAATACTCTCTCTGTGAGGTATTAAATGAGGGGACTCCACTCCCTGATGAAATGCTACAGATAACCAGGAAAGGAAACATTGTTGGACTTTGTATTCCTGACACAGACAACTCCTAACACCCTATATGGTGACTGTGGAGACTACATCAATCCAACAGCTCCACGTGAACTCTAGAACTTCACTCCTAATTAAGAAATGTCACTCTCCACTCAGGAAAGGTAGAGAAGAAAAGAGGCCCTGAGATACAGCTCAGTGGTAGTGCAATTATCAAGGATGCATAAGGACTGGGTTCAATTTCTAGTATTATAACACATGCACAAACAGACACACACAGATACACAGACAAACACACAAAGACATAGACACCCCCACCCTACATGGTATTGATGTTTCACAAGCTATAAAGCATTTCTTAAATATTTAAAAAAATGTTGAAAATGGCATACAGAATATAGGAGGCCATGTGTCCCCTGCACAGCTGAGACTATTGTCTATCTGTATCATTACTGAGAAAATTTGCTGACTTGAGGTCTAATCTAGCCAAGGTCTTAATTTGCTTTGGTGCGATGTGTTGCCATTGGTGTTAATGGCTACAGCATTGCCTCCTCATCTTTCACAGATTTCCCCCAGAACATCATTTATAAAATGCTTTGTATTAGAAATAACTCCATTAACAACTGTATTTTGTCACATGCAGATTTAGCTACTGTCAGAACCTAATCGAATGAGATGTTTATGTCCAGTTTCTCAAAGCCACCTTTCCAAAAGAGACTTCATTCAAACCTTTATGCCACTTCCAACTCAAGTGACAGGCCCACTAGAAACCAGTGTGTTAAACTGCAAAAAGAAGCTCACATTCTTCCTGTTCCTTATGCATTTCCTCAGGCTCCCTCGCACGGCTACACGGAGAGTCTCCTTTACAGCTTTGAGTGTAAGCTTAGATGCATAGGTGCTTTGGATGAAAGGGCATGGAGAACACATCTCAGGTTGAGGGGTAGCATAAAACATGTGATATGGACTACAATGGGGGACCGGAGTGAAAAAGTTTCAGTGGGGATGGGATAGGGGAGGAGAGGGGTGTTAGGCTAATTACATCTAGGAATGTATTTTTTTCTTCCTTTTGGAAACCCACAACTTTGTAAATTTATTTTAAAATGCAGCTTTTAAGAAAGGAAATCCAACCCAGATACACTACATGGATAGAGAATGCTTCCCCAAAAGGACACGTTATCAAATGAAATACCAGTGCAGGCTATGGGACACCTTCCTAGGAATTATTGCTCCCACCAAACAGCAGATGTTGCCATTGCTCATGGTTGCCCACCAGCACTTGATGGTAAGACCCTATTGCAGAAGACAAAATACACTTTGGTTTCAGGGCATAGAGGAAACAAAGCTGAAATTGACCTAAAAACTCTCGGCTGGCTGGGTTTCATAGGGCTACGTGTAATACAGGCCACCGGGGCAAAAAGTACCTAGCAGCAAATTCTGAATGATGTAAAACCAACTTCAAGAAAAATGTGACTGCTAGCAAAAATAGTGGCACAAAGGTTATGGAGGTAACCAACTATTTTCCAGTTGGAATGAGGCCTGTTCCATAAGAGGGAATTCAGTCAGTACTATGAACCTGGCCCGCAGCATGGAAGGACATAGACCCTGAGTGGGCAGGCAAAAGGGGAGCTCTAGCACTGTTGTTTGGTAAATGTCAACTGTCAATCTAAATACATGTTTGCCCATGGACTAGTACTGCTTTCACTCAGCCAGAGAAGCTGCTTCTGCAGTGGGTGGCAGCTAATGCAGACTCACAACTGGTCAGAGAGTGAGGATGGGTTACTGCTGAACGCTTGGCCCAAAATGGGACAACTCAATTCACCCAAGGCTTGAGGAGTGCTGCAGATGGGGTGCAAAACGAAGTGAGAGGAACAACGGGAACAATGTTGTGAAATGTTGCCTTGGCAATACTACTTGGAGGCAGTGGGTTGAGAGGGAGGGTTCATGAAGGCCAAAGGGGGATGCTGAGGCTACCTGGGGAGAGCAGAGGTGAGAGTAAATATAATCAAGATACAGCATTCGAATGTAAACTGCCAAAGAACAAAGTGTGTGTGTGTGTGTGTGTGTATGTGTGTGTGTGTGACACAAGCAGAAGACTGAAATCTGTTTGCATGTAGGAGGCTATTCTTTCCTGCTGCCTGTGGGCATCTTTGGACCAGCATCAATGAATGAGCATTAGTCCACAAGGATTTGAGGTGGTTGGCAGAGGAGCACATGAGTAAGCATGGTCAGGACAGTACTTACAGCACAGTAGTGGTGAGCAGACAGCATTTTTTAATAGAAAGTCTCAAGTACATCACAAGAACCATACGCTAAAGACTATGTTTTCACTCTAAAATTAGAAAATGTAGGTTTTTCTATGACTGGGGCTGGGGGAAGCTACTAATATGTCTAAATAAAAAAAAGTTTTGAACTATAATAAGTTCTGTTAAAAATCCTTTATAAGCAAAAAAGGTTTGGAAAAGCAGACAGTGAGGAGGGTAACATTTAAGCAAAGCAACTGTCAGGTAGGTCTGGCCGCTTGCCTTCCCTCTACCCAGATTTGTCCATGAGTACCAAAAACCAAACCAAGATCCACAAAACAGCACGCTTCCTTCCACTGGTTTAAATGAAGCTATTTTAAGTAGAAACTTTATTTAAGTGCCCCAGCAAAGAAAACAGGTCCTCACATGAAACTCAAACCATTTCGGTAACCAAATACCTGAGGACAGTCTGAGGGGCTGCGACTGAAGAGGAAATGCATGTGGAAGGCTCACAGGCTTTTTTTTTTTTTTCCTTTTTGCACAGGTTTCTAACTTCAGCAGAAATCCCCAGACCCTGGGCCCTACTAGAGGTAAAAGGAATTCTAAATTGCTCTCCAGTAATTCTCAGCTTTGAGTATACAGTGAAGCTGCCTAAAAAAAGATCTTTTTTTTTACTTTGAATACCACTGCCTGGACCTCCCCCAAGGCCAATTAACCCAGACTTCCTGGTACGTAGCCCAGGATTGGTAGTCTCTCAAGCTGCTAAGGTTCCACTGTGGAGCAGGGCTGATAACCTAATAACCTTTAAAATCCTCAGAAAGGCCAACGGTGACTGAAACTACCATGTGTGAGCTTTAGTGCTGACAGAAGAGAATATTTTAGGGAGGTAATATTTGTTTGAGAATAAATGCACACAAATATACTTGGAAAGCCCACCCCCATTCCATCTCCAGTTCCTTCCCCAGCCCACCAACCGGTCTCTCCCACATTCATGTGTTTTTTGCTGTTTTAAACCCGCTGTGTCCACTCAGTGTTGCTGCTGTATGTGCATGAGTGCAGGGCCCTCTACTGCAGTACAGGAGCCTTTCAGGGACTGCTTCCTTGAAGATGCTCCCTCTCCCAGAGTCATCAACTGCCAAGAGCTCCACAGCTATGGCAGGGCGTTGTGCCCACCTCGCCCCTCCATGCCCGGGTTGTCTGGCTTGCCCTGTCACTCACCTTGCATATGCAGTAGCCAGAGCTACTGTAAATTCCTACTTGCAACTGCCTTGTTGTGTCTGGAAAACCCCATTTTGCTTTAGCCATCCACTGCCTCTGGCTCTTGAAATCTTTCTACCCTGTTCTGTGATGACCCAAGCTTTTGGAGCGGGGTGGGGAGAAGGAGGAGGAAGAGGAGGAGGAAGTGACATGATATGGGTGTTACGAAGATAATTTTTTTGCTAATATCAGGTTGTCCTTCTAGTGTGTTCACTCTAACGCATGATGATGAAGTCCTTCAAGATACAAGGGATACCATTTACTGCACACTTACCTGGAACCAACCCCTAGTGGGCAATGCCCACCTCATCCAACCCCCAACACTTACCACCCTGACAAACACTATCACTCATCTTCATTATTCTTCAAAAATAATTATTAAATGCATTTATTCAAGGCAGCTGAGAAGGGGCTCATTTCCCAGCACAGAGCCAGCAAGTATGGGAACTAGAATTGCACCTAATTGTAAAGCTACGCCTTTTCACTTTCTGTTAATTATATATGGACGTTCTGAGAGATGCTAGTAACATGTTTCACAAGCTTGAAAGCTATAAAGTATACAGCGCACACATACGGCACACATGGAATCAACTTGATTCATCACCTTCTCTGTCGTGAGTGAGTAAAGTACCCCTGACTGTGGGCATCCTTGACTCTTACTCTTTAGCCCTGGAGAAAAAAATTAGCAGCTTTTTTCTTATTCCAAAAGGATTTACAGTGGTTGCTGAGGAGTGAGTCTGGGTAAACCTGGTCAGGAGCAGACACCATTTTTAAAAGAAATGTTCAAGTATATCATAAGGACAGTAAGTTAAAACCTGTATTTTTACTCTAAATTCAGAAAAGATAGTTTCCTCTTTTGAGGAATTCTGTATCAATGTGTACACACTTTAAAATTATTTTTTTTAAATATACTTATTTATTATTTTATATGAATACACTGTAGCTCTCTTCAGACACACCAGAAGAGGGCATCAGATCCCATTAGAGATGGCTGTGAGCCACCATATGGTCGCTGGGAATTGAACTCAGAACCTCTGGAAGTGCAGTCAGTGCTCTTAACTGCTGAGCCATCTCTCCAGCCCCTAAAATTCTTTTTAAACTACACAATGTAATACACAAACGTGTCATGATTTCATCAAGGCCCTGTGGACAGATCTGAATTACTCTTGATTACTGTCGTTACAGAAATGTTAGAATGTATAGCCCATAAATTCTCAGGTTAAAGCTATGCCCTTTTCACTGTTCCATTACCCTAGGCTTCTAAGAAACTCACAGCCAGACTCAGTTTAAGTTACACCTACTTTATTCAAAAGCCTTACTAAATATTCAAAGGACACTTTCATCTTAATATTAGAAATGTTTAAAAATATGTTCAAAGACCAAAGTGTACAGACATGGGCTGCAGGCAGAGTGACACGTCTTCATGAACCTTGTGCTGCCTCTCCTCCTCAGAAGGTGTCCGTCCCTGAAGATTCCGCGACGCCATGCATGGAGCTGGTGCTCAGGGACTGAGAGCAGTCCTCAAGGTTCACAGAGGGCAGAGTCACAGACATCCTAGCGGGCGACACGTGTGCAATTAGGAGCGGATCTGCCGAGCCACCTGCACAAAGGAGAAAGGCATTCAGACAATGGCTGACAACATATGTGCTCTTCTCTTTCCACACAGTATGGGAGAGCCTGAAAATAAGGATCACATACAAGGAAATGTCTTTTCTCAAGTTGCTTGGAATTTCCCTTTACCATGGATCTCTTGAAGGCAACATTTTACAGAAGAACAGGCAGTAAAAATTAAGGTACACAAGACTGGGATTTTCTCCCACTGAAGGGGGCGAGCTGAGAAGAAGAAAAGGGTCAGCAGGAATAGAAGAGAGATTAAAGGGTGATGGGGGAATTGTCATAGCTGTGTATGAAACCATCAAAACGGTTACTATAAAACTGCAGTACCGACGCTCAGGCAGACTGCTAGTGTAAGCCTAGTCTCTGCTCTCGTCACCTGGGGTGAATCACCGGTTACCACTCCAAAGTTCAGTGTTCTCGTGTTAAATAGAACAGAACCCACCCTGCAGAGCACATGGAAAGTGACCTCACAGCGGGGCTCAGCACTGTCATCATTCAAACCACAAACCCCACTGCAGTGAGTGCTCAGAGACAGAGCCACTGTCTCCATGAAAGACCCTGACGTCACGACCACCGCGTGGAAGCCACTGGAAGCCACAGCTGCAGTGGGAGTGTGCTACTGATCACAGGATGACTTCTAAAAGGGAGGGTGAGGAGGTCGGAAGCACCTGAAACCAGGATCCTGGCACTGGCCTCTAACCCCCAAAGAGAAAAGCTGAAGGAGGATGGTGAAGTGAAGTAGCCTGTTTAAAAAATAAAATGAAAACATTCCAAACTCAAGTCCAACTTCGTCAAAGCACTTTGCTTTTCATTTTCCTTCTACTAAATGGACACTCAGCTTGAGATACATCTGTTAACAACTGCCCACTGATGCGTGCCTAACAGCAAGCAGTACATTATTAGTTAACATATTGATACAACATTGTCTAAGAAAAAATGTTGAAGTGGTCATTCAAATAGTATTGATATTTGACATAGAAAACATTTATTATGTACAAGGGAATTTTCTTCCTTCTTTACACTTAATTAAATATGGGAAAAACATTCTACTCCACGCATTGTACACAGTATTAGACCTATAGGGATAGGATGAAAATCAAAATAAACACTGAAAAGCACATCTAAAGATATTTATAGGATATAATTACTGTTAGAATATACCAATGTTTTACAAAGCTATGATCTAGAGTACACAAAATAACCAAGAGAAGCATCCAATAAAGAAACATCCAGTAGTACAGTTTAATTTATAATAAAGTTTACAAATTAGCAGAGGACTGACTGGAATCTATAGCTGATAGATGTTCCACCCAAATACTCCATTCCCAATACTCAGCTATCCCAAAGAACAATGTTGCCACATAGTTATCTAATTGAACAAAACTGCTTTATATAATCTATATGCATAAATTCACATATTAAATTAAATTGTTCAATATGACCTTTTTTATTCTGAATAGCAAGTGACACGAAAAATTATGTAATTTCTTATAGTTGTTGCCTCATACTTAAATACTAACTAAAAAAAATGGAAAGACCTTTCTCCCATCTCTTATCTAATAGTGATTCTATTAGTGGGACAAGTCAGATGATCAAGACCGATGTTGAATGGACTTTTCAAAAGTAAGTGCTGCGTAAACAGCTGTATGAAGCTGCTGTGCGTCCAGAGCTAAGACAGTGCAGAGCTGATACAAGGATCAGAGGTAACGCCCATTCTCAGGATGTTCCTACAGATGGGGGATGCAGTTAATCAACGTAGAAGGAGCAGTTGAGCTGGGACTTAAAAGATGTTGGGAAGGTGATGACAGAAAGGAGAAGGCCAGAACACATTTAGGTTTGTGTGCAGGGAACACTGTGTTCTGGTGCCAAATACAGGCTGGTCTGAAAGGATGGTGAGCTCTGAAACGCTGAAGAAGGCAGGCCCAGCCCCTGTATAAAGAAATGGAGAACTCACAAAACATTTCAAAGAAAATACTAATGTGAGCAAATGCATTTTGAAAAGATATACATAACAACAAGCAGAGGGGTCTGTGGCAACGGACAGAGTCAGGACACTCTGGAGGGAGCCTGGCACTGAGTGTGGTGCTCAAACGGCAGGTCTGATCAAACAAGTGGACAGGAATGAGAGGCCTATGGAAGTGCATAGAGATCAAAGATACTGGACTCAGTATACCCTTGATCAATACAGATGCCCACAAAACACGTGAATGGACTTTCCAGAAGGCAACTGGAATCTAAGCTTCTAAGACTGTAGAGTAGTTCTAAAGACACAGAACGAGCAGTCAGCCACAGACACATTAGTGCAATGGGCTGCAATCTCTCAGAGGGCTAAATGAAACGAGAACATAGTGGGGAGATGTAGGAAGTGCTAAGAAGCGGGAATAGAGAGAAAGTCATAGGAAAGTATTCAGGAGGAGACGTCAAAATTAAGTTGAGCATAATTTGTCTAACTCAAATTTGGTAGAGCTGACTTGCAACTGTCTTTAATTACAATGAAAGGGAACTGGAGGTATTTCATGTTAGCGATGTGTTGTGGCAGTGGCAGCTAAGGAGAGGGACACTTCAAGCACTAGGCCCTTTCTTTTTTAAAACCACAGCACACGTGTGAAGGTCAGAGGACAGCTCTGTGGAGCTGGTTCTCTCCCTTTACCTTTATGTGGGTTTGGGGGGATGAGACTTAGGTCACCAGGCTTGCACATCTCATGAGTCCCAAGTCCCTTTAGGATAGGTCATGGTTAAGGACCAAAAGAGGTCAGCTTAGGAATGAGCCGACACAGACTGTGCCCTGAAGGCTTTCTGTTCAGAGAGGAGTAAAGGGAAGGAAAGATAATGGATAGTGGAACAGAAAAAAGCTGGGTTCTCCCCCTTCCTTCCCTCCCCCCTCCCTCCCCCCCCCCTCCCTCCCCCCCCCCTCCCTCCCTCTCTCCCTCCCTCCCTCCCTCTCTTTCTCTGGCCTCCCACAAGCACCAAGTGAGCATCTTCTGTGTGCTAGGCATTGCTCTAGGCTCTGCAGAATACAACAGTTCCAGCCTTCCTGAGCTCACAAACTGGATGTATGACAGGACTGACAGGCAAATAAGGAAGGAAGAGCACAATGCATTAAAACTTCTAAAGAAATGCAGGGAAAAGGCAGGAGAGACAGAGGAAGAGACTGAGGTTAGCCGCATACATTTTCTGAACCCCCCCCCCCCAGCTGTGAGACGGCCTCAAAGGGTTTGGTGAGTATTAGGCAGTGTCATCTGAAGTATTCTATATGCTACTGGAACACAGAAATGTCACTCAAATAAGTCAGCTTTTACTCCTAGGTACTGAGCAGGAGCCATCCTACCAGGTATCAGCCCATGGGGAGGGCTACAAAAGGCACTGTTCTTTAAGGAGAATGAGAGGTGACATTGGAAACTAGTAAGAAAACAAAGGAGAGCCAGGCGGTGGTGGCACACGCCTTTAATCCCAGCACTTGGGAGGCAGAGGCAGGCGGATTTTTGAATTCGAGGCCAGCCTGGTCTACAGAGTGAGTTCCAGGACAGCCAGGGCTATACAGAGAAACCCTTTCTTGAAAAACCAAAAGAGAGAGGGAGAGAGAGAGAGAGAGAGAGAGAGAGAGGGAGGGGGGGGGGGGGGGGGGGGGGGGGGGAGGGAGGAGGACACAAAGGAGAGCTGGATGATGTAGCTTAGTTTGGAGTACTTGTCTAGCACACACAGCCTTGGGTTTCATCTCCAGCATACGTAAGCCACATGTGCTGCTGAACTTGAAACAGTTGTACTCAGGAAGTGGAAGTAGTAGGGTTGGAGTTAGCCTAGGCTAATGAGACCCTCAACCTGGGCTAGAGAGGTCCTCAGCCTGGCTACATATGACCTTGTAAGGCCTCTAAACTGGTATACCATGATTTTAAATAAAAATTATACCAATAAAATGTTCCATTTTATATAATGCTATTTGTTAATGTACACTCTGGGAAGATTTTTTTGAAAGTTCATGAAAGTTTTTAAATAATCACAGCTTTAGAACTTTAAAAGAATTTTTTTTAAGATGGGATATTTTAAAAAGTACCACTTAATTACTGTTAACAGACAAAAAGGCTAACACATTCACACCCAGTTACAGCTGTCACAGAGTAAAAGGAAAAAAAAAAACCATAAAGAACAAAATATCTTAATAAATCACCATTAGAGCAATATAAATTTTTCTACCTATATTAAATGTAGCTTGATGCTTTAAAGTTTAACTTTAGAATTTCCAGTTGTGTCATTACGCTATGATGTCATTGTTTCAACAGCTGGTTTTGGGTCTGAAAACAAGATGACTCCTTGATCCCTGGGGTTTGCAGTGTGTCATTAGGCCTGGCACGCACTTAAGTTGGAGATGCCAGAGTCAGACCCTAGATTTGACACTTCCAGAGGCATAACTTAATATACTTTTAAAACATTCAGAATACCAAAATTTTGCTTTAAAATACTGAAAATTCATATTTTCCACTCTCTGCTGCTGGGCTTATAAGAACAAGGATTACAAAAACTAAAAGCAATTCATATGAAGTAAATCAACGCTTTTTTTTTTTCTCCAGACAGAGTCTTTCAATGTAACTCTGGCTGTCCTGGAACTCACTCTGTAGAGCAGGCTGACCTCAGACTCACAGAGATCCACCCTCCCAAGTGCTGGGATTAAAGGTGTACACCATCTCACCTAACTCAGTACAGAATCTTTAATGCTCATTTAGATATATGTGTATTTATTACATGTATTTTAGAAATATTAATAATTAAGCATCTTACAAGTCTTCTGGGGTTAGAGGATCTGGGGTTGTAGATTATGAGTCTAAATCTTAAAGCCTGGCGACCAATTCTTAGATCTCTTACTTGTAAGCTAAGAGGTCCCCAAGTGGAGGAGCATGGCCTTTCACAACAGCTGAGACAGAAAGAGGAACCTTTTCTGGCAAAGAGGAACCAGTTCCAGAGACAGCCACAGGATCAGAATGCCTCATC